CGGTGGTGTGTGTCTGTATCTGAGAGGGGAAACGAGGAGGTTGAGCGTAACCGTTTACCTGCGCTTCATTAATCTGTGTGCATGTTCTATTTGAGCGGTCACTGTGAATGCTTACCTGTACCTTTTTCTCTTTCCTTTTTCCATGCTGTCCTTTAAGAGCCCTACAGAGAGACAAGTATGGGAGTCAAACTAAACATTGCTTACCAAATGTAATTTCCCTTAACGTTATTACTCTTTCCTTAAAACTATAGTAAACGCCATTTTGCTAAGAGATGTTTTAGTCAATATTCTAATCAGAGAGCACTCTCAACCTCATTAAAATGAAAACCTAATTTTCTCATCTCTTCTTCAACGTAAAGTGATGCTTTTGTTAAAATAGAAGCTGAGTGGACAATTCGGTGTTTTGCAACCCTGGTCTTTTTCCCCCCAATTAAAATTTGCATATTTGTCTAAGCCACTGATAAGTAAAACAAATGCTGTTTATTTGTTTATGCTCAAATGATGCAGCTAAAAATTGGTAAACAAGAAAGTGCTCCCACATTTTGTTATACGAGTGTGGGAGTGTGTTAATAGCCCACGCTTGCACACTTCTTTTCATGAAGAATTTAACTTCAAGACGCTGATAATATGCAAAATTTAATTAATGTAGAGAAACCTATAGGCGGAGAAGCTGCTCTCTCTGTACCTAATGATACATGAGTGTTATATAAAGGCCAGCATGATTTGGTTTGACGAAAACTTTTCGTGCATTAGCTGTCGTGTATTGTTGTGTGTTTGTGTTCGTGCATTGTGTTTCTGTTGTGTTTGCCGGCTTTGCAGAGTGATTTGTGTGTTATTTGATATGTGAGATGAGGACAATCGAGGTTGCAAATTCATAGCCAAAAGATGAGTTTGACAGGTAAGTCCATTATCACAGGCTTAGCTGGCACGTTTCAGTGAATTCTGAAATGAGTTTTAAACTTCACATCAGCCTTGAATCCCTGACGAATCCGATCAATACCCAAAATAGCACTGGTTTGGAAGCCCAATGAGCGTTCACCTCAGGGACGAATGGTTTCAAGGTTTTTCGGTTTGTTTCAGTGAGCCGTTTTGCATGTCGGACTTACAGATGCGCCAGGTGCAAGTGATTTTAATTATTCTTCTCTCTGACTCTTCGTCTCGCAGAGGGAATCCTGAACAATGCTCGGGATACAAGTGCCATGGATACTCTACCACTGAATGGTAACCATGGCAACAGCTACAGCTTGGCCAGTGCCGATTACATGAGCGACTGCGTGCAAATCATCGACCGCACGTACAACGTACACAAAGAGACCACGCTGGAGAAACGGATCCTGAAAGAGCTCACCTCCAACTACCTGCCCACCTACCTGAACAACCACGACCGCACGGCCGAGCACGGACGCAACCTCATGAACAAGCTGGTGAACGAAGTCAGCAACGGAGGCGGGGTGAAGGACTCGCCCATGCTGCCGGTCAATCTCGCGTTGGGTTTGGACGACTCTGCGTCTTTCCCACACGAGGACAGTCTAGGGCTGGAGCTGATCAGGGAGGAGTCCAACACCCCCTTGCTTCCGCCGCCACGCCACGTCCAGCCTCTTCCCTCCACCTTCAGCTCGGCTTCTTCATCGCGACGGCGCCTTCCGCAAGAAAACAGCGAGAGTTTCTTCCCTCTGCTGACAGAGGAGCAAACGGAAGAGACTCCATCGCCGCAGAGAGACTCACTCTACACCAGCATGCCCACGCTGCCCGACCCTGAACGCTCCGACACGCATTCGCTGCCCCGCGGCGGTGACACGCACATGCTCCCCAGAAGCGGCGAGCCAGACGACGTGTATTATAAGAGCATGCCCAACTTGGGCTCACGCAACCATCTGCACCAGCTGCATAGCTACTACCAACGGGCCCGCGGCAGCAGCGACGGCTTTATCGTTCCTCCCAAAGATGAGCTTTCGCCCGAAGAACCGCCGCCGCAGGAAACCGCACACATGGTAACCAGCCTATAGAGGGCGCCAAACCCCGTCGCAGTCACACCCGTAACCCATGACATCTCGACCTCCGCTGGCTCTTCTGCGTTTCCGTACCGTTCAGTCGTCCGCAGTCCTTCACTTTTGCTTTTTCCGTGTCCGCAGAGAAATTAACTGCAACAACAAACCTTGGGAGGCGATTTTGTATTCTGTTCAGGAGAGGATTATGGGTACTCTTGCTTGTTGAGGAATGAAACCTGACATCCTTTGGATTCTATTGGTAGTGCACTTCTACTTCAAGGGAAAACGGACCCGAAAATTTATTTGCTGTATAACCTTGCGGGGCAGTGTGAGATTTCAAGGGTTTTTTACTCTCTGCGATCCTGAAGGAATACAGATAACTGGCAAAAAACATTGTTAGTAGCTCAGCGCGTCTAGTCAATACCAATCAAGTCTGTGACTCGAAAACTATTTTAATACCTTCTGTATCCATATTTGCTTTTTAAATATTTTCTTCTTCTCACGTGGTGAAAAGCAGCACGTTTTGCTGCGACGGAGAACAATACGAAGAAGGGCGTCTTCACCTCACGCTTTCTGTTCTTTGCTGTATTAATAACAAATATCGAGAAGCGGGGGAAGAACTAATACCGGAGAATTCTACAATATTTCTATGTAAATGTACAGACACTAGTGTTACACAGGATAGTGCTTATTCTGTTCCTATGCCCTCCGCTTCTGTAACCATGGTGATTTCAGATCATTTCCTTTCTCTCCCGATGGTCTCGTCCTCAACGACAGGTTTTGATCCCTCGCTCTTTTTTTTAATTATATCTTTTACATTCACGTCTTCATTTCAGTATGATTAATGGCAAGTAGAACAAAAATGAGAGGATAGACAAAAAATAATACTTATTTTTCCTCATTCTCTTTGATTTATTGACACCGGCTTGTAGATGAATGAAGAAAGGAAGCCCAACATTGAAAATATGTTGCCATTTTGGTGTAGAGATATGAAAAGTATTGCGGTTTATGATCAACGGAGGTCGTTTTCATTCAGAGAGAGTGACACTTGTGTGATTTAGCTGCAGAGATCCAGCATACCTTCTTTTTGCTTTTTTTTATTTTTCTGGTGGAGAATGAATGGTTATTTATTTCACTGAGGGAAGAAGTACAAACTATTCTGCAAAAATGTCTGGGGGTAAAATGAATGTGGCACATATTAGATTTTTTTATCATTACAAATATGATTTTATTTATTCTTTTATCCCTTTTTTTCTCCTGTGGTTGAATGACCTCTCACTAATATTTGTTGTAACAGTGAAACTTGTTTGCCAACAAATAAATGACTGACAGAGTGAAGCCGAGAGTTGCTGGCTGTGTGCGTTTTCTGCAACACGACTCATTTTGTTAATTAGGGGCTCTTTTGACGAGAAACCTTATTAAACTATGTTACATATATGGTAATAAAGAGTAATAAAATAAAGATTTGATTGTGGTTTTGATCAACTTTCAGGTGGGTTTTAGTATAATGTGATACTCTGTGTACTGGCAATGACATTTTTCACTTTATAGAGAAAATCAACAATCAAATTAACATTTAATTTAGAATAAAATTGAAGATTGATTGCTTCAGAATTAAATTCTCCAATATTACTTAATTTGGTAATGAGCTCTAATGAAGCTACTTTCAGATCACGATTTGCATTTGCATTTACATTTATTCAAGTGCAACTGAGAATGTTACAAGCAAAAGCAATTAATTCAATGGAGTTGTACAAGCATACTAAATTTCTATAAATGCTGAACTAAAATATCAGGGCAGCTGGTTAGTCAAATGTTCCCAGAAGTGTTATTTCATGTAAAAAAAATAGTCAAATTAATGACTTCTGTGGTCTCTTGTCACTCTTCATTTCAGTCATGCTTGGTGTGACTGCATAACAGCAGTATTATTGGGGACGCACAACAAAATACAAATAGAAATAAATGAAAACAAAATAAGCCCAAAATACAAAAAAATATTGAATTTTTTAACATATACACTCTTAAAAAGGAGGAAATAGATGGTAAGTAAAACAACAATGACAAAGAGCTAAGTTCGTAATGTCACAATGTATGACAAACATCCTGCCATTAAAGTTTGTAGATGTGTTTGTATGGAGTCTATAAACTGTACGCCAGTGAACTTCTAATGCCTGTCAGTCTGCCTGGCTGCTAAATAAGATTTATTCTCCTTCATGATGACAGTTTTTAAATTTCAATCAGTTCTGTCGGATAAGCAAAAAGCGAAAACGTGTTTTGAAATCCAATGCTCTTTAAGGAAATTAAAAGATGCTGGGAACCAGGATGACACGTTGCCATGGAGACATAATTCTTCTCCAGCTCTATACGGAACAATGAGGAACATCTTTTGAAATCACTTTATTGAGTTATAGATGAATCCTTGAAATGCTTGAGGTACAATGAAACATTAAAGCGTCTTAGGGACATTCGATTGGTGCTTGTGGCACTTCTATGCTGGAGTCTTCATGTTTGATGGGTTAGTTGAGAAGAAGAAGCACAACCACTGCATAAAATAGTCTGTTGGACACATTTTAAAGGAATAATTCATCCAAAATAAATTCTGTTATCAGTTACTCACCCTATTTATACAAATACATAAATAAAATAAAAATAAAAACATGTTACCTTTTTGAAACACAAAAGGTAAATGTTGCTTGAAAAATGTTAATTTCATAAGGATGTTTTTGAATTATTTGAAAAAATTTACTTAAAACAGTTTGTTGAGTGTGTGTGTGTGTGTGTTTTCTACACTCATGTCAATTTGATTGGCATTTGTGAAGTGTTTGAGTTAATGAAATGTGTTGCACTTCAACACACACACACACACACACTTTCAATCAATCTCTCACACTCCACGTTATTAATGAGTCATTACAGCAGCTCATAATAGGCGGAATGCCAACATGCTTGCACTGCATCTCAGATCACACACACACACACACACACACACACACACACACACAGATGCTGCACAATCAATGTAAATCAATTGTAGTCTGGATGAGTTCATATTTAACTTTGTCTCTGAGCAGAACATCAGAACTAAATGTTTCCTCAGCTCTTTGGATTTTAATATTCCACACATTGATTTTTATTAACACAAACATCTTTTTTTTTTTCTCTCTTGTATGAAGGTCACATTAAAACAATCTTAGTGTCTTTATATAGATGTGATTGTTTTATCCAGATCCAGACTTTCATTTGTAACGCTCCTGATGTTGTGTTGAAAATCCAGGTATGGCTTTTGTGTTACTAATTGTTTTAAATGCAATTTGCCAAAAAATGACACTGTGTAGAGATTAAAA